GGGAGCGCTACGTTACCGTGGAGAGGAGGGTGGAGGGGGGTTCTCAGTCGCGCAACATGTTACAATATGTAGTTTAAATAATATGGCGATGGGTTAGTCCTTTCTTCTGAAATGAAACCACTGTTTCTTCTGCATAGCTCACATTAAAAAAATAATGCAGAAGACCCCTTGCCTGTTAAAGTGGAAACACTAGCATACTGATTTTGTTCCAGGGATTAATTTTATTATATTCTGTTACATTAGATGAGACAGTGCCCGTTAGTGTTAATTTATGATGATCTGCTAGTTAGGAGGAACAATGGGTTGAACCAGTAGTACTCCCTCTTCAAGGTTCTCCTTCCGTGCTTTGCATTATGATACTCACTTGGTGACTGATGGATGAGCTGGTGCTACTACTGTTGGTTGCAAGAGACGAAGTTGATGATGTTGTTGACGATGTCCCACCTACTGGCTGACCACGGGACAAACCTGCGTTTGTGTATGATGAATGGGATGAGCCAAATGGTCTGTGAACAGAACACAATAACATTCGTAAGAGGAGTGTAAGTAACAACAAGTGATGGAATTTAGAGCCATTCCCCTCTAACAGTGTTGGGCTTAAGTTTCAAATGAATCTTTTATATGTATGCCTAAGCCTCATGACATAATAGGGGGAACAGACTGCATTTTAATTGCCCACTTTATAAGCTGGTGACTTACCGATGCAGTGTAAGATGAAAATAATTTTTAACTTCACGCTCCATTACCATTAGAATATAACACACTAGATTGCAGGTACTAAAGTAACAGTGTATATGAACTGGATAAATGTAATTTATTTTTTGCTGAGAGTTTAATCAACAGGCTGAAACAAGTGGGGTTCTGTAACTTGATACAGTCTACAGGGAGAAGTCTGTGGTATCGTATGAAGAGACAACCACTAGTTGAACTGATGGATAATAACAATAGTGAACTATAGAATCTAGAACCATAACTGTATCTTCTTATGTAGCCTAGAGTCGGATATATAGAAAACATGTCACTGTCAGTATTGTTGTAGGCTTTGCCCAGCAACCGCTGTTTACTCATCGTTGCTAAGCAATGAAGTTTGCGTTGTCACGCTTGTTTGAATGTGGACAGCTCCCACAAGTCTTAGAACATTTCTTACATATGAACTCTCATTATAATAGATGCAGACATAATAAAAAATATCTGGCTGTGTACAATTGTGAATTTTTAGGGATGCTGAGGCACCAAGAAAATGTTGGGGTTAAAAAACTATGTAAAATAAAAAAGAACCCAACACAAAAACCTTTATGTAATCACACCCTGTGTTTCTAAGTGTATTGCATGTACTGGCTATGTATTCTGTGGTGTATTCCATACCCCTTCACATGATTATAGAGGACAATGGTGATAATGGATACCTTGTCGCCAGTGTGAGTCCCTTATGAGGGTTTACTCTATTCAGTTAGTGTTATGAATGACACTGGGGCTATGAGCTGTTAAGTAGCATTAATTCCTGGGAAACAATGACATGGAGACTCCTGTGTATGTGTATGTAGAACTTTATATTAAATATTAGCAAGTAAAGAGTAATCTACCCAGAGCCTTGGCGGCAGTAACATCAGTGACTAAAGGCCACATATAATGCAAACTTGCCTTGGTGCTATGTGCCCCAACATCTGGGCTGTTACAGCAGATGTAGTCATTTTGTTTATAGGCTGCTGCTGATATGCCAGGGACTGTTCGGTACGATGAGGTGGCTGCTGGCTCTGGTTCAATAATGGTGTGGCTAGTCCTTTACTCACACCAGATAGTGCAGGTATGGGCATGCTATGGACTGTCATCAACTGCTGCTGGGCTGATGGGTTATTGATGTTGTTATTATTGTTCATGCTGTTAATATTGTTGTTGTTATTTTTCATCGCAGTTTCATTTGTATCACTGTTGTTTCTCTGAGAAGCATCTGAGGGTACTGAGTCTCTTTTGTCAGGTGGTGTGACTTTGCTTGCTGCCGACGAGACAAAGTTGACAGTGAATTTAGTATTGTAAGGCAGTGTCTGATATTTGGGATCTGATTTGCTGCCTCCAAACTCTGGTAGATACTGGTCATCCTTGTCCTTATTCTTGGTGCTGCTGTTTTGGGTTGAGCTACCATTATTCACTGCTGTAGTGTTCAAATTGCTTCCACTTCCGCCACTGATGCCCACAAGCTTGTTGTGGAAGTCATCCTGCGAAGATGCATGATTCTTGTGGTCCTGTGATGACATTCCATCTGACTGCTGATGGATATGTTTGCTGTGATAAGGCCCTGTAACATATCATAATGCGGTCATAAGCTGTGATTGGTAAGTAACAAAGTTTCTATAGTCAGCTTAACTTCCAGTTGTGCATTGCAAGTAGGATATACAACCTGTGGCCTCAAGTTCTTGTGAGATAACTGATAGCTGAGTGTCCAGTTCTAAGGTGATGAACCAATTGCAATTAACAAAGTTAACCAAATCCCCTGCCAAATAAGGGTGCCTCAGGTATTGTAAACAAGCTTTTTTCATCTGTTGAAATAATAATTCAACAAGCCCTTGAAAAACTAAGTGCAGCCAAATAATGTAAAAGTTCAATTCCTATCTCCAGGAAATAAATTTTCCATGCATTTCATAGATGTTCACCACTTCTACAAATGTTTTGAATAAAACTAGTAAATCTTCATAAGTTGTATATTTTTGTCATGTACAATTTGGTCTCCACTTACCAGAAAGATGATACTCTGATCTGAGTTGCATACAAAGGGTTATTATACCGGACTCATACAAACTTTTGGTGTACATTCTAAAAACAAAGTATTTTGAAATCCATTCTTTGTTCCCATGAGACATAAATGAGGACAGACAGGTGTAGTCTTCGTTATATGACTTCAATTCAGACACACCGTGCAAAAGTGCATAAAAACGCACAGAATTTCAGTAACTAATTCATTGATACAAATTTGCTGGATAGAAATCAAGCATGACACAACAGCACAACACACCTTCTTTCCCGAGATGAGTGATGCCATCCCCAACAATGGGACGGATCTGTGCAGCTTGTTTCTGGCCACCATATATTCCACCACTGATGCCAGACTGCTTTTCAGGGTCACTGGATGTGACTGGCACATGATGGTAAGGCTCTATGGTAGCAATGTTCCCACTAGTCAGAGGTCGCAGCAACTTGCCTTTCCCTCCCTGCACCTGCTGCTGGTGATACTGGTGCTGCTGGATTGTTGTAGCAGATGCAACAGACCTGCAAGTCAAATTATTTCATGTAGCTGCTTTCCTCCAGATGATTCAGTGTACACAGTAAGGTTAATAAACAACTCTGAATTTAGTTACTATAGGATTCTGACGATGGTGTATAATACACTGATATATTGGGTTTTTGGACTTCATCCATCGTCCTGGTTTTTAAGATAACTAATAAAAACACGACGTTTCAGAAACTGGATCTGTTTCCGTCCTCAGGTGAAGGAAAACACCTATTCTGTTGGGTCCGTTAGAAAGAGCTAGTCACTGGTCCAGTGATTGAGGCTAGCTCTTTCTAATGGACCCAACAGAATAGGTGTTTTCCTTCACCTGAGGACAGAAACAGATTCTGTTTCCGAAATGTCGTGTTTTTATTAGTTATCTTAAAAACCAGGAGGATGGGTGAAGTCCAAAAACCCAATATATCAACTCTGAATTTATAATGATCCATTTCTGAATATAACATCCATCATCAGTGATCCTGATTAATATTAAATATCAAAATATGTAATCTCATTTCAAAGACATAGCTTCAGTGGTTATCATCTTCCCAGTCTTTTCACTTCCATCTTCAGAAATTAATTTGAACTAAAATAAACGAGACATTTTGGAACTGGAAATTGTAACACCTCTGCCATCTGTTCTACCTATATGCAAACTACGAGAAGATGTCAAACAACGTAAAATTCAAAGGTACAACACTCAGCATGTGATCACATAGCAAATGGTGGCAGAAGGCTTCCAACAGCAGACTTCTGTGGGAAAATTGTGATGATGGAGCCCTGACATAGGACTGGAAAGTGATAACCGAAACAATTTTAGGCAGGCACCATACTTATACTTTAATTCTACATAAATATCACCTCAAATAAGTTCCTTGATTTCTCATACATAATTGAATGTGCACAGCTTCAGGGCCATATATTTACAGGAATGTCACTTCTATCTCAATCATTTGACCACCATGCCAATTGTAGATAATAAAAGTCAACAGGTTAGGTGGCCTCCAGTGGAACATTATTCAAACTAACCAGATGAGTGGATCTGAGAGTCTGTCTGGATGGTGTGACATGGAGGAAATTATCTGCACCTGCCAGGAATTCAACTCCAGGCATCTACCCCTTGGCAGGTAGCAACTACAGCTTTGCTTGCCACCTGCTTCTTTCTCTTTGGTCCTGAGGAAGGAGGAGGACATTCATCTGAAATGCCAGTGGGCTTCTACTGAACTATACAGCATTACACCCCAGAAGGTAGTACTCTTCATGCCACTGATGTGAGGACTTTCAAATCCAATGCTGGTAGTCACTTTACTGTATATGTATATATATATAATCCCACCTCCATTGAAAGTGAATTGTAAGTTTATATTTTAACGATTTAAAAAATATCACATGGACGAGCTCTGTCATTCACAGTGCAGCATTCTGCTCTCTAACTAAACAGTGTTCCCACAGTATGCAGGCTCTCAAGAACCAACCTTAACTGTTGCTGTCCTGATGCTTTGTTACTTGCTGCTGTGATCTGGTTTGCCATCTGCTGGTTCAGAAGTCGCTTTCGATGCAGTCTATCTTGTAATTCGGAAATACGTTTGTCAATGTTGCTCATCTCTTCTTGGCGCTGTGACAGTGCTTCCCTCTGCTGGCATAGACGGGCATTCTGCTGCTCATTGAGCTTGTTACGATACTGAAATTAGAGGAAACAGAATAGGTCACATAATCTGAGACACTGAACATTTTAAATCTATGGTGAGAAGTACTGAAATTGGTCGCTACAGACTCATACCACTGCAGATCATATCTGGAGGGAGTAAATTAAATTCAATGCATGTACATATTTAACTCATTTATATGAAAAACTGAATGATTATTGTTAACCCTTGTGACTTGATTTCCATATACAAATTACAGAATAGGAAAGACTGTAATAACAGGAACTAGCATACGCTGGTGTCCAGTGGTATGTCATATAACATAATGATCAAAAGAGCGTCCAGGTGAAGGAAGACCCATTTTTATAACACTTAATTTTGATGAAAAACGATGCAAATCAAGAAAACTGAATAGTGAGACATACCATAAGTTCACGCCTCAATTTGTCAAGCTCAAGAGCCGCAGGGGAGGGTGTCTGTTGCTGCTGATCCCTGGCACTAGCACCCCGACCTCTCTTCAGCTCCTCAAGTTGATGTGTCAGCTCCTCCACCTTTGCAACTGCCAGTGACAGCTCCTTCTCCTTTTCATTGAAAAGTGCTCGGATTGAGTCCAGATCCGATGCTGCAGACACACAATACAAAGACTCACTGAATTCCATCTGAAAGTAAGGTTACCACTGTGTATCATGCCATGAAGTGTACAGGAAGAATGGCAAGTGGACCTAAACACATCCTAGACCTTGACATCGATCCCAGACAGTTACAGTAGGCTGGGTGGACCACAGAAACAGTTCTGATGTGGCAGGAAATGTAAAAAATTCCCACCTCTACCAGGAATTGAACCTTAGCCACTGAATCAGTAACCTGTCATTTCACTAACTGAGCTATTGCTCATATGAACAAAGTGCTGTCATTCAGAGATAATTTTCAAGGCTGTAATGTGGACTTCATGAATAAAGAAAATATAGCAGCTAGAAATCCAGACATTAATCCAAAATTTTAAAATATTCAACCTATGATATCCCACAAATACAATATTTTGGAACCAAAAACCAGTCTTCTTCCTCTTCTTTCCTCCAAGGATTAGGCATTAGCCTGTTCTGGCCTCATTTATGACTCTCATTATCTCTTCCCACCTTCCCACATCCCTCTTATTCTGTGCTTTGAAAGGCACAGCTTGCTTAGGAATGCTGGTTCCATCCAGTCTCTGATGGGGAGGGGGGTGGGGGGGAAACACACACAGGTAAAGCTATCTCTGTAACTGGCCACTGAGGCCCATATGGTTGTGAGACCTCCAGACTCCCACATTTTCTACAGTCGGCTCACAGATGGTGTCAGCCTTACCCACTGGCCGCCCTTTAACCCCAAGAAGATTCCTGGTACTCGTTTCTGTTAGATGCTGTGTCCACCACAGGGCCATTGTGCGGATGGAAGGGTCAGGTCAACTGAAAACCCCAATGACCTCATTGGAAATTCAAACCATGACCTGGCTTCTAACATAATGCCTCAACCAACTACACTACAGCATACCCAATTTCTCTGGTGATGCTGCTTTATTTCTCTGTTTTCTTCTATTTTTTCACTCAATGAGAAAATCCCCATTCTGTCGTTATATTTTAATTACTTATTCTGTCCATTTTATTGCAACCCTCCAGAGAGCTTAAAAATTTCATCTCATCACCCTGCAATCTTGTCCAGTCCCTAGGCTTTACTCTACAAGGCTCACTGCCATATGATACAACTAGCACAGTCATAACTTTGTAAAACTTCAACACTGTTTCTATTCTAGCCTTCGTCTCTAGTGTTCTTGAAACAGTTTCACATGTGAAGAAAGCAGTCACCGCCGTGAAAGCCTCAAATCTTACATAGTTTCACATGTGTTCCTACCTACCTAAGAACAAACAAAAGCAAATTTTCTCTAGTGTCATTCTAGGTACATATGCACATATCCCTCATTGCAACCTAAATGTAAAATAATCCCCATTCATAAGCACCATACCATGAAAGCATATATGTGGCACATGTTCCTGCCCATGGCACTATATGGAGATTGGTGTTCAGCTCATATCAACCATATGTACGTACTTGGGAAGTTATTATTTTTTAATCTTGGGAAGGTTGCTTTAATCCTTACTAACAGTTCCATGACTTTCCTTTGCCTCTCTACGCAAATTACTTCAAGTAGCCTATGAACACCACCTTCCAAATTGTTGTTTCTTCTCCATTTGTGATCACCTTCCCCATGACATTTACTATAAACATCTATGTTATAATTTTAGTATTGGTAAAATTTGGCCCAGAACCACGGTTATGAAATGGATGCGACTTGAACATATCTGGTTCAAACAGTGCTGTTATTTTTTTTTTTTTTGCTTTTTTTAAGACTGGTTCTGATGCTGTACACTGTCGATACTGAAGGAGTTGTTAAATAACCTATGAAAAAATATATTTTTTGGTGAAATATTTATTGTTGATTACTATATTTTCAGTTTGTAGGTTATTATATCAAATACTTCATAATTAAACATTTTTTATTATTTACTGGGTTCAGCTTCTTACATATATAAATATGATTGTTTTTGTTTAGGGCACAGAATATTTTAATGACAGGCACTGTGGTCCATCAAACTATGACATTAATCAACCAACACCACCACCATGACAAATTTATGCAATTAAATTAAATGGCTGGCACTTGGTGGTTTTGTTTGCTTGATATAGAATAGTTTCATTCCCCAGGGATGGCTCTTTGGTAGCTGTCTATTCAACTGTGTCAGAAAAATTGTTTTAGCGAGAGAATGTTTTAATTTTTTGTTAGTTTACTTTTGATTTGCCAATTTATTTTATATGTCTTCTTTTCTTGTTGTTTTGCTTAGGATAATGAAAGACTTGTGCTTAACCAATTAAGCACTACGCCATGAAGACGTATGGGACAGCGGTTCTATAGATCCAAGTATACTTGACATCAGCACTAGTTAGAGGTAAGTCGTCAGATTCACGCCCTGGCCGATTTACCTCTGGGGAATAAGCCCCAGTACCCATTGGAGAGGCTGAGTGGGCCCCGGAACCGGCCTGAATGACGAGGAGAGGAGAAAAATCTTGCCCCTAACCGGGAATCGAACTCTGACCCTCCTACACCGACTGTGCTATCCCGGCCTATTCTTAATACACACGAGATCTGAAAATCCCACTCCGGAGAGCAAGAAGATTGCAATAATTTGGAATATGAAGCCTTGGACAGGGGTGAAAATGGAGTTTCAGAGCTAGGCTGATGCTTAGGATTAGTTGAAAAGTGCGGGGATAATGACCAACGCGTATTAAAAGCGAATTAGTATACTGTAAGCCAGTGAAATCCTTGCTACTCATATTGTTGTTGGGAGCGGCAGATATGACATCTCAGGGCACTGGAAATAATTTCGTTTAAAATGAAGCACTATGAAACTAAGTAGGCGGCGTCAATTCGTCTGGGATAGTGTCCAACCCTGGCCGTGTCATACGGAGGTATCACAATCTGCAGGAGGAAATAGCACTTTCGTCCGAAACGTTGACACCTGTCTACCATACAATAATGTGTCAGATTTCAGAAGACCGTATCTTAATACTTCACACAAATGCTGCTGGCTGAATGTTAGTGCAATATTGTTTGGTGTTGCAGGCAGATCTCTGCTTGCTGCTAGTGATATGTTCCTCCAGAACGTTCACAGGCTTCCACTGTGCCAAAGGACATTATATGAAAGAAGACAGAAACATACAAGAATCCTTAGTGTCTACTGTGCGTGGCCAGTCATTCTGTGTCACTAACACAACGAGCTATAACAGAACCTGAAGGCTGAACATCATTAATTTCTGAACTCGCGACATAGGGCGCGGTCATAAGCAACTGATCAAGTTCAAAGGCCTCCTCTCACCCCCTCCCCCCGCCCCCAAAGCGACGATGACGTAAACATGAATGTTGCAATGTAATGCATCGGGGAACAGGATGTGCATTTAAATTTTGAAATAATACGTATAAATTACAAAACTGCTAAGTTGCTTTTAAAATATATAACGCATATCTAACCAGGGATTAAACATTTTAGGCGATACTTGTGTGTTTTCGGAACATGGGCGAAAAGAACTGAATAAATGACATTTTCCGCGGGGGTTTCTAGTAGAACACAAACACAAACACTAACATGAATGTAGACGAATATAATGCCCAGTCAGTTTCTGGGGACGAAAACACCGATTATATTTGGGGGAATATCCCAAAACTCCGCCTATGTTTGCGAAAATATCAAACTCTTCAAGAATCCATTTTAATATCATCATCCTGCCGCCTTTTCGGTTCAAGTGAATTCTCTCATCAAACTTCTGAATCACTCCAAAGTATGACATGTAAACTTTGATATCAGATAAACATACAAAATTGCTTGAAGCACCTCTGTGGCATGCAGATATGTGTTTTGCTAACCGATTCAGAGACCGACCTTGCGTTACACAACATGATTACCCTCGAGTCGAGAGTTAGCACAGAGGTGGAACACGCCACAGGGGATATCAAGGGACGCGAAGTGAACTCAGGATGTTGCAGCATTACTAACACTCAGCCTTGCCTGCCCTCTCCTCAAACCAGCGCTTGTTAAGTCCAAGCGTTTCTCGACATTCTAAATTCCAATACGTTTCAACGCAACTGACGACAGTTCACAAAGTGCCGTACTAGCAGTATGGTCCTCGTTCTGGGTTATAACGCCGTGAAGTAAAAAAAAAGCCCGACGTTTCGAAGAAACATACCGCCACCATCTTCTGGGTGATAGTAAGTAAAGAAAAAAAAACAGCAAGAAGCTGACGGAAAGCAGAAGTTCCCTTACTCTACGAGCCTGAAGAAGTAGGCGATATGTTCATTCGTAACGTCGCATTTTCCCCACTGCATGGCGTTAAAGCATAGAAGAACGTTTTCTTCATAGTCACCGTTGTGAGAACCTCAGATGAACATAGTTCAGACCGGCGTGTTTACAAAATTGTTACCAGTTTAAAATAACATTCCCTATAAGCAAACAATTTCCCAGAACCAGTATCTGCGCAGCAAAGTTCGCCCAACACTACTTCCGATAAAAAGTCAAATTAACCATCTGACATACTATGACAACTGTGGCACACGTGCCCGTTCTCATGAAATTAGCTATGTTGACGGGTATGAAGAGCCACTGAACGTTAGCTGAAATAGTTTACTTACTACACAGTGAATTATGGGAACTATACTTGCACATACGTGTTGTGATAGATTTAAGACAATTATTATACATCACCATCATCATCAGAATGAACTATGTAACATTAGGTTCAACTGACTGTTCCTAATTAGCCGGTCACGGTAGCCGAGCGGCCTAAGGCATGCACTGTCTTCGCTCGCTCGGAAGTCGGGATCGTGGGTTCGAATCCCACTCAGGGATGTTTGTGTGCATTTTTCTGTGTTTGTGCACAGGTAGAGGCCTTGCGACGAGCTGATCACTCGCCCAAGGAGTCCTACCGAATGTGTAAGACCTAGAAAAACCGAAGTGAAACGGAGAAGTTCATGGAAGTAGGCCTAGGCCCACTGGGGCTGTAGTGCCAAGGGGGAGGGCAATGTTCCTAATTATTCTT